ATATATATATATATATATATATGTGTGTATACAACTACTTTAACAAATTCTTTGTGCGTCTGTTATATACAACGGCAGTGTCTTTGTTTAATTTGAAGAATTATTTTAATCACTTTATCTTATATATAAATATGTATATATCAAACGAAAAAAGTATATATATATATATATATGCATTAAACATTCGGTTGATAAAAAAGGTATATGTAAAAAACCATTTTTTTAAATAATTTGATATAAAAAAGAGAAATATTGCAAAACGATTTTATCAAAATAAATTTAAGATAGAAAATTATATATGTATAGAAAGAATTTGTTTCCTTTGTAAAAAAAAAGAAACGACAATATTCCTCTTTTTTATAAAATATCATCTCAAAAAACATACAAATACCTTTTTTATCTATTGTATATAGTTATGTATGGTATTATGTATATATCATTATTTAATTAACAGGCATAGTTGACACTGCACTATGAGGCGTTGTAGGTCGAGAACCAGCAATAGAATGTGTCGTTGATGCATTTAGAGACTGCATTGTACCAATCTGAAATAATAACATGTTTTAAATTTAAATCTTACTGTTTATAATCATACGATTTTTGTAATATACGTTACAATTATGATATAATTAATTTAATAATATATCATACCCGTAGATGAGCCAGATCTTCTAATCTTGTTAGATCACATAATTCAAGATATAAAGAATAAACGATAAGCCAACCATATGCAGAAATGCAAAGAAATATTATCCACAGAAGACACATCATGATATTATAGGCAAATATCATGTCATTTACAATACTGAAGAATATAAAAGCAAAGAATCGGAAAATTGTGAAAATGGCAAAACTATACAACCATGGTACCATTTTTTTTTCATGTTCTTTTCGCAGAGCTCTGATCAATATAAAAGAAGTCGCAAAGATAACTATTCCACCCAACATTGAGAACAATGCAGACACGATCAGAGCATTTCGAACTGGAAAAAGAAACAAATAATATAAGGTTCTGTCTTGATTAATTTTTAAAATTTATATTTACAAAATTTTTTTAAATAAAAAAATGGCCCTACTATGTTGATTGCCCACATAAACAAATTCATATGATATGATATAATATCCATAGTGTGTAGAACCAGGCGCAGCTTGCGACAAACAGTAGATATCAAAAATAGCTGTACATATCGTGAAAAAGGCTAGGCACTGAAAGAATATTTATTCTATATTACTTAAATATATTACAAGAAAGTATTTTCAAATACTATTTTTGTTAAATGCATACCATTGAAAATACAGCAGTGAACATAGCACCTCTTTGAATATCGAGTATGTAAGCATGTGTCACTATTGGTTTTTGATACCACGGAATCTTTACACTGCGAGCAGATCTTGATGATCTGAGATTTGCACTGCTGCGAGTAGTGGTTACATGGGAATACACAGATGGTGTTCCCATGCTG